TTATTTTATTTGTAAGACTGTGAAATAAAAAATAATAAAAAATAATAAAATATAATCCGAATTTGAATTATTTCATCATTATCAATTTGTGAGAGGGAAACAGAGAAAGAAAATTATCAAAATATTTTAATATCTCTTGGTATTTAAAAATGTTTTGGTACTGGACAAGATATTTGGATTAAGTAAAAAGTAACTTTGTATTTTTAGATTTGAATGTCATCTAAAAATATGAAATTTCTTTTCACTCAAACCATATTAAGCATAAATGATATGATTAAAATCAAAATAAAAATCAGCTGATAAAAACTGGACTTCTGGATTTTCACCTGTTATTCTAGAAATCTTAAAATTAACTTTTCTGCCAATATAACCGGAGATTTGACTGCCCATGGAGTGCCCAATAATGTGCAATTTTTCGGTATCAAAGTCCTTCATCATCTTATCGAGAATCATCGTAAGAGCATTTGCAACGTGAGGAGCATTTCTTGCCACTGTTACATACGAGTCGTTCGCAAATTTACTGTAATCCACTGCGATAATATTATGATCGTTTCTTTTCAAATAAGCTGAAACATAAAAGTAATTTATATCCTTCTTAAAATACATATTACATGTCATTTTGATGTACCTTCCACTATTGTTTGTACGCTCTTTTTCTCTACATTTTCTGAAAAACCGTGAATGTACATTACCGTCGGTTTGCTAGTGATTAATCGAGATGTAATTGCGCTGGCATTTTCCAGTGAGCAATCGATGTATTCATGTATAGTGATTCTGAAAGAAATAAATTTTTGGATTAATAATAAAAAAATAGATCTTTCGGAAAATTTACTTTTTTTCATCAAAGAAGATTGATATCGTGACGAAAAATACAATTGATTTCTTTTTTTCGCAAGAATTTAATTTTAAGCAAATTAAGTGATAAAAGAAATCAAAAATTTGAAAATAAGTACCCGATATAAATACGTAGAAAGATGCTCTTGAAATTCTCTTCGACTCTACCTACAAAAAATAAATGCTCATTTTTTTTCTATCAAATATTGCCTATATTTAAGCAGAACAAAAAAAAAATTATAATAAAATATTTCTTTAGCATAATAACTTTTTCAAACAATCAACAAAGGAGAATCAAACAAGGCTAATGAGAGTACAACGCAATTAATAGTGCGCAACAAAATAATATAAAAACTTTAGATACAAATTTTTATTGCAATAATATGATGTTATCTAACAGTTGATTGAACGTATTGAATCTATTTTGAATCATTTTCAGCAATTCGATACATTTTACAATATATTTTATGTATTAAACCTCAGTGTGTCAAAATGAATTGGATAATATAACAAATTGCCAAATTTGAACGTGGCAAAGATCCAGATCCAGATCGGAGTCAAGAACGTCAAGACGTCTTGAAGCTTTGGATAACATTCAGCACCATCAATTTAAACGCATGTATTATTATTAAACGCATGTATTATTACAATTAAAAATTGAGTTCTTATAAGCCAGACTTTTCATATGAAATACGTGCGCGAAATATTGAGATACGTATGAAATATTACATGGAAAGCTTATAATATAAGAACTCAATTTTTAATTATAATAATACACATGTTTAATTAGTATATAAAAGATAAATGTCGTTACCGCTCGTATGTGTGCAAAAACAAATATAATAAAGTGTGTAAAGGAATTATTAAAGCACAAAAAGACATCCTTTCTTAAGAGAAGAAGAATGTAATTTACAAAATTAAGTGTAAAAATTGCAATGCTTCTTATGTGAGACAAACGTAAATTAAAGACTAGAATTAGAATTGAAGATAAAAATGACATTAATAAAAGGGGCGGTAACTTGTCTGTCGTTTCTGAATATAGATTATAATTTGAACATAATTTTGAACACAAAAATTTTAGATGATGAAAGATATATTGGCAAAAGGTTAGTGTCTGAAATGCTTAATATTAAAACGCAAAACAATGGCTTAAATTTGAAATCAGACACGGAATTGTTGCACCATGCTTATATGAACATAATTAATAAATTGTAATTCTTTTGATTGGTGTAACTATACTTAAGCGGCTATCTATATTGTTTTTCGACTTTTAGCAATGTTGTTTCCTTTTTTATAATATTTATTTCTTAATATTTTTTTACATAAGTTGACTCTGCTTTTGACATTGCGCACGTTATGTTCTTATAAGAAATTTAATTTAATTTTATCTGTTTTGTCAATTTTAATTTATTTATTTTATATTATTGTAGTTATGATTTGCAATAGATAAATCCCCATAAAGTTTTGTTGTCCTTCTTTTTAATATTTAACTGTCTTTTTAATATAATATTATTTTAATGTAATATTATTTTTGATTCAGATCGCATTTAGTTAATCAGCTAACTGACGGTTACATACACTCCAGATATGGTAATCTGTGAGACTTGCTTACTGCATTTAATTTTTTTGATATTATGAACATTGAATTGTTATCAATTATTGCTATGATTGGAAAGGGAATAGATATAATCGAAATATATATGATGATGTATATGATAATCGCACCAATTACTACGTATTAAGGTTCTTAATTTCCCGTTTTTTACTCTATTTTTTATTTGTTTTAAACACAGTAAAGATCAATTTTTAAACAAACAAACCTGGGTGATAAATAAAATTAATTATTTTATTAATATACAGAGTGTTCGAAAAGTGCCGGGACACCTAAATAACTTTTAATGGATAAAGATAATTGAATGAAACTTGCAAGACACTTATTATATCAGAAGAACTATCTTTTGATATAAAGGATAACAATCTCCTTCCTCCAGGGATGCGGGGGTGAAACACATTCAAAAGTCTTAAATGGTATAAGGAGTTCAAGTGGCTCTTTCAAATAATCTGAAAGAACTGTTAAACTTAATTTAAATGAAATATAGCGTAATTCAGCACCTAGTTATCAACACCTTTTATTAAAATTGTGCGAATGTTTCTGTCATCTGCTTTTAATATAACCCAAGGTCAACGACGTGACAGATAACTGACCTCTTTTGGGGTACTTGGTTATCGTGAATCGCCTCGCCTCTCACGTTTGGAGTGCTTTATTATCATGAATCTCCTCACGAATGAATACATCTTTATATCTATCTTTTTGATATTGCGTGGATAGGATGATCGCCAAAGATCTTATAAGGAGATGACTCTCTTATTTAATGTAAATATGTAATATTTAAAAAACTTTTCGCTATGAACAAATCGACATTTCTAAATCTACAGTGAAGCGTACTGTCAAACGCTTTGAGCAGATAGTATTAAGAATCGTGCAAAATCAAATAGGCCTGCTACAGCAACAAATCTCGATAAAGCGTTAGACGTTAAGTTGTTCTTTGTCGAAAATCCACACAGTTCTATTCGCAATGCAATACAACAAAACGATATCGGTTTAGCGTCAGTGCATAAAATGTTAAAAAAAAAATAAATTCTACCCATATAAGATTCATCTTGTTCAGAAACTATCTGACGACGATTTCGATCGTCGCATAGAATTTTGCGATTTGATGATAGACAAAATCACCAGAGATTCTCAATTTTAAATATTGTTTTTTCGGATAAAGTGACTTTTACGTTGACTAGTAAATCGACATAACTGCAGATACTGGAATGAAAATCTTCATTGGATGGTTGAAACGCATTCGTAATATCCGTAAAAACTCAATATGGGCTGGCTTGTTAAGTGAAAGTGTACTTGGATCTTTCTTTATTGATGGCAACCTTACGGCTCAAAAATATGACAATATGCTTCGAAATAAAATTGTGTCGGCAATACAGACCATCATTGGTCGAAACTTTAATGATGTTTGGTTCCAATAGGATGAAGCATCAGTTCAGTATGCTTTACAAGCACACTTGGACGAATTTTTCCTCAAAAGATGGATAGGAAAGAAAGATTTTCCTCTTCTTCATTGAGTCACTTCAGTCACTTGATTTAGCGCCTCTTGACTGTTTCTTTTGGAGATATTTAAAAAGTAAGATCTACATCATCAAACCTAACAATCTTGATGATTTGCGTCACCGAATAGTTGATGAGACGAGATGCATACCACAGGAATACAATAGAAATACAATCTCAAGTTTTTATAATTGATTAGCTCATTGTCTGGCCATTCAGGAAGAGCATTTTGAACATTTGTTGTAGCACAAGCACCCCAAATGTGAGAAGCGAAGGGATTCACGATAATCAAGCATCCTAAAAGAGGTCAGTTATCTGCCACGCCCACGTCATTGATCTTGGGTTACGCTAACAGCAAATGACAGAAACATGCGATGCAATTTTAATAAAAAGTGATAACTAGGATGCCGGGTTACGCTATGTCTCATTCAACAGTTCTTTCCGAAGTTATTCGAAAGAGCCATTTAATCTTTTATGCCATTTAGGATTTTTGAACGTATTTCACTCCACATCCCTGGACAAAGGGGGGATTGTTACCCTTATGTCATAAGATAATCCTTCTGATGTAATAATAAAAAAGTGTCCTGCAAGTTTCATTTAATTATCTTTATCCGTTCAAAAGTTATTTAGGTATCCCGGCACTTTCCGAACACTCTGTATATAAGATCTCGGTACGAGCGTGGGCGCATTTCGACTTAATTTCTTCTTTAGCCAAGAATAATTTACAAGTTCTAAGCGCACGATGTAATAATGACTATAATTTACATTAATTTTCGCATGGATCACAAGCGCATGGTATAACAGATACTATAATTGACGTTATATTTCGTTTATTTCTGCATAGATCTTACCAACAATTTTATATATGCAAAAAGCGCAATACAATTTTCCGCATATCATTGATACTGTTCCACAACTCCTCCTCCTCCCCCCCTCCATTAATTTGAAAAAAAACTATTCCACGGTGATGATCAGAAACAGGTGGAATCAATCGTGATTAAAATTGCAAGAGATGCATTCTCAATTAGAAACGTTGTGGATATGCATGTTATCAGATTGCTAATCAGAAAGTAGAAACATAGTAGTAATTTTGTTGTTAATTATAAATTAATAGTCATTCTGATTAACTTACTGTACATGAAGATAAGAAGTGTCTAAAAAATGAAGAGCGATAAAATTTTTGATTATCTCGTCGTTAAACAAAATCAAATGATACGTGTCAATCAAACAGTACAAACATTAAGTCTTATTTATAATAAGAACATTGAGAAGTAGTTACACACTGTGATTGAAAATTGAGTCTAATAAATAAAGATATGACCTGTCGAGAGACAGTGTCTTTTCTTAGATTGATTCTATTTTTTTGTTTTTTGATGTGTAACAGAGTTCATAAATATGTTCTATAAAATCTCGTATAATGCGATGCTTCCACTAGGACAAACCAGAAGAAGAAGCACAAGATGAAATGAACATAAGGCATGAAATCCATCGAAATATTTAGTCATTATGAAGCACATTTTACAGTTCAATCATTGATTGCAATAAAATCAAAATAGTTGAATAAAATTGTAACAGGAGGTTTATTTCTGAGATATTATACATCAAAAAACAAAAAAAATGAAATTGATCTAAAAAAAAACGAATCTCTCGATGGGTCATATCTTTATTTGTTAAATTTCCAATCACAGTGTGTAATTACTTCTCAATGTTCTTATTATAAACAAGACTTAATGTTTGTACAGTTTCACTGACACATATCATTTGACTTCGTTTAATGACGAATGTGACAATCAAATTTTTATCATTCCTTCATTTTTAAACGTTTTTTTATTTTCATGTACAGTAAGTTAATCAAAACAATTACTAATTTATAATTAACAACAAAATTACTACTTACGTTTTTACTTTCTGATTAACAATCTGTAAACGTAAATATCCACAACGTTTCTAACTGAGAATGTATCTCTTGCAATTTTAATCACGATTGACTCCACCTGTTTTTCGTTAACAATCATGAAATTGATATAATTTTTTTGGATATCAAATAAATGAGGGGGGG